TCGAAAAAAAAAAAGAAAAAAAAAGAATAAAGCATTTTTTTATGATGTTTGCTTTAAAATTCTGAAATAATTTTAACATGTGATTCATCCATTTGTGTTTATTGATCATGTTTTCTTGCTCACATTGTCTTATTTTTTATTTTTGGTTTTTTATTTTGATTGTATTCTTGATACTTTGGTGATTTATGTTAGAAAATTCTTGATTATATTTAAATCTTTTGTTGTCATAGTTGCCCTGTTTTGGTTTAATGTGTAGGTTCTTTTCTACTTTTGTGGGCTTTATTTTCAATGATTGTTGTGTTTGTATTTTTTAATAATAGTGGTATTTTTGTCTGCTTCATGTTCTGATGCTGCTAGGATTCTAGCTCAGTTCCTGTCTGTGCTCCCTGGGGTGGATGGAAGGCGCTTTTTCTGAGCTTCCTGATGTCCTTATTTACCTATGTGGAATTCTGATCAGAAGCCAGAAGCTGCTGAGCCTGGATCCCCTTTTATTATTGGGTGGAGGAGATGGGGATGCTGAAGTCTCATATTATTGCTTCAAATTATACTGTCTGCTGGTGCCCCGATTGTGAAGTAGAGATTGGGATGGTCTGGGGTACTGATACCCCAGTACTACTAGTACCCTAGTACTACTGCTAGATCAAAATGTTGACTTGTGCTGAGGAGCAAGGTCAGAGGCTTTACTACTATGTAGAAGCATGTGGGTCATACTACCTACTATCCCTGATTGCTGTAGCATTAACTAGGTTGGTCTGAACTCCTCAGCTGCTGCAGTCCCATAGCATGGCCCAGGGCTTTGTTACTCTGTCATTATAGACAGAAGTACAGAGTGCTACCTAACCTGTGGTGTGGAATGGGGGTTGTTAGGTTTTCCCCATTAAGTCTGTTGGATTTCCTTGTTCAGATAATGCAGACCTCCTCCCCTCCCCTCCTTCCTACCCTTTGCCTATTGGTGCTTCCCATTGGGGGTGGGGGGTAAATGTGTGTGTGTGCGTGTGTATGTGTATTCACATATATACGCACACACACATATATATATATATATATATATATATACACACTGCAGGCTTCTCCAGTGCCTAGTCCAGGAGTATTTTGGGGACAAAAAGAAAACCCAAAGGAATCACCACATTATCTGTTGTTCCTTAAGTCTTGAGTTTCTTAACTGGTCTGCCTTCTTCCTTCCAACTTTTGAGTGCTATTATTGTTAATTGATGGATAATTTCCTTTGAATTCAGTTGTATATAGAGAGAGAAGCAGGGAAGTGCTATTTTCATTCCAGAATCAAAAGCTCTTTGTGGTTGTATTTCAAAATTTTACTCTTTGCTTTTTAAGGGTATGAATCAGTATGAATACTGTCCCCTCCCTTTTTTTTTGACGTTTGAAAATTGAGGGTTAATATGTTCTCATTCTATATACATAGAAAGACCGATATATACATGTATATACATATGGTCTATGTGTGTATATACACACATGCATGTCACTTATATCTGTCATATCAATATGTGTGAGTGTGTATGAATAAATATGTGACCATCTAGCTGTCATAGCTTACTAATATTTATCCTAAAGATAGAAGAATCTCATGACTTTTCTGTATTATTTTGTTATTTTAGCTGTGAATAGACATTCAAATCTCAAGACTATGTCAATAAACTTGTGAATTTCCTATGTTTGAGGATTCTGTCATTTCTGAACTTCAGATAGCATGAAACAAATACATGTTTCAGTTAATTAGAACTTTTAAAGTACCGTATATCTTAATAGATCTTTGATTCTAAACTTAATGATTGGGAGTCTTCTGAAAAATAATTATTGCTGAGTTTTAAAAAAAATTTGATTCTAATGTTTTTTTTTTAATTGACAAATATCTTTAAATAATTTTCTTCTAGTTCAGGCCTGTGAAATTCAGAAAATTCTGGAAATTGATGTTGGTTCTAAAAATAAACCTGACTCCAAAGAAGAGCCAAGTAAAAAACTCAGTGTTCATCACAGAGAAGCTGAACAAGAATTTTACTTATCGGTTGGCTCGCCTTCTGTTCTTTTGGATGCAAAAACATCTATATCACAAAATGTTCTTCCACCTATTGCTCAAGAGAGAGAGGCTTACACCTTTGGAAATTCAGTAAATATGCTGTCTTCAAGTATGCAGAGTTCTCTTAAAACCAAAAAAAGGTATTCTCTCATTTAAATAATGTTAATCCCATTTTAAACATTTTACCTTTTATATTAAAAAGTGTTAATTCGGCCATTTTGTGTAGTTTTATAGCAAGGATTAAAGAAATTAACATGTTATGAGAAAAACAGTATATATTTAGTATATATTCAGTTTATAATTAATAAGGAAGACTATAAAGTGTACTTTAGAGAAGTTTGGAGGTTAACTTTTCTATGGTCTGTGGAAAAATATGTTTTTTTCCTAATAGTAAGTTTTCTATCCGTTCCTAAGAGACAATTTTTATTTCTTTTATATTATTTGTAATTTTTATTTCCTTTATATTACAAGTATAGGTATGTTTAAGTTCATTTTTAGGGTAACAGCGTAAGTATTATTGAGATGCTTTGTGATAAACTGTTCCATTTCTTGGGACTTTACCTTTGGTCTTCAATAAGCAAAGTTAGATTGTCAAGGTCCTTTGACATTGGAAATCTCTGTAATGAATTTAATTTCTGTTTAGAGTATTGTGAGATTCCTGGGGCCAAGGAAAGTATTTCTAAGACTTTGCTAATTCAAAGTTTAGTCTGTCATAGTGAACCAGTGCTTATCTATACATTTTCTTGGTATATAATTTAAAAAAAATTTTTTTTAGAGATGAGGTCTTACTGTGTAATCTAGGTCTTGAACTCCTAGGCTCAAGTGACCTTCCAGCCTCAGCCCCAAAGTGCCAGGATTATAGGCGTGAGCTCCCATGTCGGCTATTGGTATATAATTTATTTCTGTATCTTTTATTTTTTTTCTATTGAAAAATATAAAATTTAATTTTTCTGAGAAGTTTACCTTGTGTATTTAGAGTTTCAAAGCATTATTTATAAATTTTAAATAAAGTCTCAGCACAAAATTTTTAAGTGATCTCTGTAAGGGAGTTCAGGAAAACTCGCAACTCAAGAAGTTCTATGGGAGCATTCAGTTTGCCCTCTTTTCACCCTTTTAGGTTAAACTTTGAAGATAAAGTTATTTTGGGGAAAGTAGAAATAGAAAATGAAGTATCAGAAGAAGAGGATAATATATCAGAAGGACAGCAAGAAAGGAAACTATCAGGAACATCTCAGAAAAGAATGCAAGATTCGGAATATGAAATTCGACCACAAGCTAGAAAGAGTTTTTCAACATTATTTTTAGAAACAGTAAAAAGAAAAGGTGAATCCAGGTGAGTTAAGAAACTGTTCTTTGAGACTTTTTTTTAACATTCTGTGAACTGTATCTTAAGGATTCCTATTGTTATTTAACTTAAATATAAATCTTTTTATGCAAATTTTAGTTGAGATTTTGCCTCACCCTAAGGAAAGGTAGCTTCTTATCAGTAAATCACCCCCAAAGCTATCCTTTAATAGATACTAAATTAGATGTGAAAGAAAATGAATTTATTTAGTTTTCATTGTTTCTGTTCATCAGTGCTTTCTAGTTTGTGTGTATGATATTAAAGAATGAAGGTAGTGCAATATTTAGAAAGAATCTTTTAAGGATGGCTTCTGTCACTGTCATAGGTTTTAAATCTTTTTTCTATTTCTTCTGATTTTGCCAATAAAAGAATAGTCATTCTAAAACAAATGTTAATGTGTTCCTGCCTACTTATAAACCTTTATTGGTTCTACAATGTCTATACAGTGATTTTCAACCCTGGGTGTACATTAGAGTTATCTAGAATTATTGGCTGTCAGGGTGGAGAACCACTGGTCTATAGAATAAACTTGAGATTCATTAACTGGTATTAAGACCTTTACTCTCCGTAGTTGACTGTATCTACCCACTTGATCGCACATGTTTGCAGTTGTCTTGCTTTGGCATACCTTTTTCCTTTGTCATCTGCCAATCTTTATTTTCTTTTAGGGTACTTGCTAGGCTTCTAGGTTTTTCTAAGTTTCAGTGTTTTAAAATAGCTTCTTGCCTTATATAATAGTTTCACTATTATATATATATATATATATACGCACATATATATGTGAATATATATATGTGTTTATGTATGTGAATATATATATATATATATTTACACACACACACACACACACACACACACACACACACATTTTGCCCCCACCCCCTACCCCAAGGCAGGTCTCACTCTGTTGCCCAGGCTGTAGTACCAGTAGCACGATCACAGCTTACTGCAGCCTGGACCTCCCCACCTCACCCTTCCAAGTAGCTAGGACTGCAGGTGCATGCTACCATGCCTGGTTAATGTTTTGAATTTTTATAGAGATGAGGTCTTGCTGTGTAACCCAGGCTGGTCTTGAGCTTCTGGCCTCAGGTGATCCTATCACTTCAGCATCCCAAAGTGTTGGGTCCAGCCAGTTTTATTATTTTATATATGTCTTTTTAAGTAGATTAAGCTATAAGTCCTCCTTTCCAGGAGTTTAGAGTTTCTTTTATATTTCCTGTGCTTTCAGAGTATTAGTGAAAACATATTAGGAAGCTTTCTTAAAAACATATTGAATGAATGAATGAAATTTCTCTTTTTTTCAGTCTTTGTTACCATAGTTGATTTCTCAGTTATTCTTTTACATAAATATTTTTCCCCTGTATGGTTGTTGTCCCCAGCATCTAAGACAAATGTATTTGTTGACTGACTATATCATGTCTGAAAATGTGATCATGTATTTTCTTTAATGCTTTTTGATAATTAGTGAGTAAAGTTAATTTTATATTTAAATGCTGCAGCCTAATATAACTACTCACTATTCCTGTTGCTGCATTCTAGCGTCATTACTTTTGCTTATGCTCTTCCTTCTGATAGTCTTTCTTGCATTTTCTCATGACCAGATCTTTTCTATCCTTGAAGATCCAGCTCAAGTGCCATAAAGTTTGTTTTGATTTTTTTTTTTTTTTCTATCTAGCTAGGGGAAAAAAAAAAAACTTTACCTATTGGAAACTTTAAGTGTCATGGTTATTTCCTTGAATAACTGATTGAAGTAGAAGAGGCACAGACTTTAAGAGTTTTTGTTGGCTAGTATGGGAAGGCTTGATTTAAAAATTTTAATTTTAAATTCCTAACATTACTTCTTTCTATAGCAAGAACTAATAGGTATTATAAATAATATACAGTAAAGCAGATTTACTTATTGGTAACAGTTGAGCTAATTCTTTCAGTGTTACAACTATTTCTACTAAGCATTTGTCATGATGACTTTATTATTCATTACTTTTTATAGAGTTTCTAATTGTATAAATTTGTGAAACCCTACCTGTTAGAAGACAGTATATTTCTGACTGGGCATGGTGGCTCACACCTGTAATACCAGCACTTTGGGAGGCAGAGGCAAGAGGATTGCCTGAGCCCAGGGTTCGAGACCAGCTTGGGCAACGTGGAGAGATCTCATCTCTATAATTTTACTCTTTTTTTTCACCACACTATATGTGGGAAGTAATGATAATATTCAGAATATTGGCTTTCTGACCTTTAATAAAATATATTCATTTTGCTCTAGGGGTATGGAGAAAGAGATTGAGAGTTGGGAAACATTATTTGACCTCATTATAACAGATTCTGTGGCATTGTATGTTTTGTAATGAGAGTTGACTTGTAGTTTTTTTGTTTGTATGATGTTAGATTTCTTTTGTGCTTGTGCTACCTTTCTAGATATACTCCATTTATTTCTATACTGTGATTATAATATGAGTATATGTGAAAATGGGCTATGTGCAGTGGCTCATACCCTGTAATCCCAGCACTTTTGGAGGCCTAAAAAAAGGCCTGTTGACTAAACAAAGATAAAAGTTTCATCTTTTTGAGTTTTCAAAGTAACATCCTGTTTTAGTCCCATTGTTAGGCATACAGCGGCTGCTCCACTTAATTCGTCTCCTTCAAGTAATATGAAGTCCATAGAGGATGAATTTGTAATTGATGAGTCAGATAGAAGTTTTTCCAGTCGATCTTGGATTGCCATACCAAGAAAGACTGGGCATGTGAAACAACACACTGTATCCTCTGCTGAGAGCACTGCACTCCTTCAAGATAAAAAGTCACAAGAAAAACATCACCATGCATCACCTAAGACTTTGGCAAGTGACACACATTCCCGTAAACCTCACCCAGTAGAGAAATCTCAGCCCTCTGATAAAAACAAACTGAGTACAAGTTGTGCTTTGACAGATGAAGTGGAAGATGACTGTAGAGCTACAAAATACAAAATGTATTCTGATAATGCAGCAAAATTGTCTGGAAGCAAAAGGACTGTGAAACAAAACCAGAGAAGAAAATTTAAGACCAACGTAGTTGAAAAACAGCTTTCTGTGGGACAGTCTAAAGGTGAAAATACAAATATGTCACATATTACTCAAGATACATTTCAAAGAAATTTAGACAGAAATATGGAAGAGGGTAAAGAGTTGAGAAATGATACTATTGCCAACAAACAGATGCCCTCTGTGGGTAAGTGCTTATATTAAGTATAACTGTGAACATTATTCTACCATTTTTTGCTTTTTTAAATTCCTGCTTAGCTTGGGAAGTGTGCAAAGTAAAACTAAATCTACGAAGAGCCTCAAAAGTCTACAGACTCTTTTCTAGAATCTTTTTATTTTATATATAATTCAATTCTAGCACCCTTGGTTTTTATTTAACTTCTGAGTGGTAGCATAGATAGATGAGAAGTGAAAGGAAAAGGCTGGTAAACATGTTAGTTATTAAAATACAAGTAAGGCAGAATTGTAAATCCTTTAGGGTTATTAAAATATAAATTGTTGATGAAAAACCCAGGATGGTGTGAGACTATTTTTTTACAGAGATAAAAATCCATTCATTTTAAATCATTCATTCCTTTGTCTATTAAATAATCTGTTAAATGCCAGACATACTATTAGGTACTGAAATCACAAAAATTACTGAGACATTTTCATTGTTAACAAGATCATTCTGGTGGGGTCTGCAGTCCAACAGATATAGATATACATACATGCACAAAATGAAAATGGAGGCACAGAGAACAATTTTCTAACCAATATCTTAATAGAATGTTTCTACTTTGAATAGCCAGATAGCTTACCATCCAAGTCAGGATCCTTTTGAGAATGAGAATGTCAGGACTGGGATTGTCTCTGGGAAACCTGGGAGTGTGGCCACTCCCCTTATATTATCGTTTTATAGTGATTGGGGTTTGTAGTGAAGATGCTGAGTCATGAAGAAAAGGTAATTTATGTTCTTTGTGTCACTTTTTAGATTAAAAAATGTAGTTATTCTTATAGAAATAATTTTCTCCAGAATAGTTAATAGAATGTAAAACACTTATCACATGTATTATGCACTTTATTATAATGTAACATTTATTTTTTATTGACAATCCTATAAGGTAGAAAATAACATTCTTTGGAAGTTCTGGTCCGGTATCTTTCCTGCCAGAGAGCACATATTCTTTCATCTCTAATGAGAAGTTTTACAATAAGTAAAAATGTTCTTGATTCTCACAAGGAAATACTATTAACTAACCGAAAATGCTCTTGACCAGAATTGCACATGTACCTGAAGGTTCTAGATGATTATACTATTTTTCTAATAGAGAGTGAAGAAAGAGTATATTAAATCAAAATATTTTAAGATGGCTTTTATAAAAACAAATTGTACTTTAATATAATCACTGAATTACTCAAGTTATTTTGGCTTTGTTTTTGGTATCGTCTATACCATAGACTTTATATTGCCTGATATAGTAGGTGTCAGACTATTGATGTCAATTATAGTCCTTGACTCAAAGCCCTACTTCTCCATCTTCAAAACCACCAATGCCAGTCTTACATTTCATATTTCTCTGGCTTCTTCATCCATCATCCCATCTCTTTCCTACTACAGCTTCTAAGGACACATGTAACTAGGTTGATTGAACCTGGTTAATCTACCTAGTTCAAGGGTTTATAACCTAATCATACTTTGAATCTCTTTGAAAAAATTATTGTTTCAACCTAGAAAAGCAGTGATTACCAATTTTTACTTGGGATATTGGTAAGTAGTAGGAAGGAACCATATATGTTTTTCTATTTCAAAAGATACTTTTTTTTCAGTTAGGATATATATGAGAGTTACAAGCAGTGTGAAAAGTTTGTGTTGAGTAGAAAGGTCGTGTTTGCTTCAGTGTCACATGTAATTGACAAAGTTAGATATTTTATTGAGGACATGTGAATTTTAAAAAATAGAGATGAAAAGATGGCCACATGATGAATTTAAGAAGTTCCTATAATTGAGATTTTTTTAAACTTTTTTTTTTAATCTTGTGGTTTTCTGAAAACTCTAGCTCATTAAATTGTAAATTGTTTCTATGATTTAGGAAGCAAGAAAGGTAGCACCAGAAAAGGTAAGGAAGAACTTAAGAAGAAGTGTTTTTCCAGTGAGTCCAAGAAAAACAAATTTGTACCTGAAGAAGTGACTTCGACTATCACAAGAAGTCGAAGAATTTCTAGGCGTCCATCTAATTGGTGGGTGGTAAAATCAGAGGAGAGTAAGTATTTTTATTTAAATTATGTTTATTCTCTCCAAAAATTTATTCTATAAGAGGCTTTATATTTGGTTTATATTTCCATTATCCGGAGAGAATCTCATGAGGATCAAATTATATTGGATCATCAAAAAAAGTATTAAATTATAAAGAGATTCCTTGATGCTTTAACATATATAGTATTCTATGTATAGGAATACAGATATGGAAAAACAAAGTCAAAAACCAAAAGTTCCTGCTTTCATGGAGTGTACATTTTACATCTCTTCCAGTAATTCTGTTGTGCATCCAGGGTTAAGAATCATTGATTTGGAGAGGTCAGGGAAGGGTAGAAAAGTCAGATTAGGGAATTTTACAATTCTGTCAAAATGAGTCCTGATCTGAGAACTATCCTGGGAGGCTTGAATTTCCGTGGCAACTGTGAATCATGTGAAAGCCATAATGGGATTAGACCTGAGCAGGTGTGCAGAGAACTGTGGATTCAAGTTTTGCTGTGTGTGGTATTGAGGAAGAGGCAGTCTACTAAAAACACCTGTATCAGCTGGACAAAGTGATTTATGCCCATAATCCCAGTTTCAAGGGAGGCTGAGACAGGCGGATTGCTTGAGACCAGGAATTTGAGACAAGCCTGGTCAATATAGTGAGCCCCTGTCTCTAAGTAAAATAAATAAAAAACAAAAAAGACCTTTATCATTATGGACTTCACTTAAATCTTGCAAGTTTTTTTGACCTATGTGGAAATCAGTGAATGTAGTCAAGCATTTGTTAATCCTACTCTTTGAATATCTTGGCTGTGGGTGATACAAAAATAAATAAGATGAGCTTCTTGTTACTCAGTAGTTTATAATCTATACACGTAAAAAGGTAAGTAATTTAGTAATTTGGTAATTTGGAGGTCTTGGCATATAGTTTTACTATGGTTATTATTAATTACTGTGAAAGGATACAAAGCAGAGTTAGTAGAGAAAAAGTAACTGAGCTAAATCTGTAGGAGATCATCATAGGCTTCAAGAGTGCTCTCCCAGTGAATTCACTTCATTCCTCCAGCCACGTGTTGGACAAATAGGTGGAATGTCTACAGGGAAGCTCATTAGAAATGTTATGCCCAGAATTTGTACTAGGGGTAGGCACATAGGTATCCCCTGCCTGGCAAGTACTAAAATTTCAGAATCCCTGAGGAAAAGCGAGTACTCAGCATAAACCTTATTTTTTTGTATAAGCAGTTTAGGCATGCTTATCAGTTAGAAAATAATACAAACTCTCCTACAAGTCAAGTTTCCAGGGCTAACTTTGCAAACCAACCTTTCTAAGGATAGTATGCCCACACCTGCTCTGCCAACTTCTGTCTGCACAATATGAAACATTTATTGTTTTGGAAAAATTGCCACTTTTTTAAGGGCAGTAATCCTGAAAAGAATGGTAGATTATAAGGTAATATTTGCATATGCAGATATTGTTGATTGGGGCATTTAGATCAACAAGTAAAAGACTAGTACAAGTATGGCACTACATCTGTGAAGCCTTGTTGCTGTGAATTATTGAATCCTCGAGATCCTTGATTGATAGCAGCAAGTATTTATTTTGCTGCAGCCCTCCTTGGATTTTGGAGTCAGATCTGAGTTCAAATTGACTCTTCCACTTGGGTAGATTGCTTTGTTCAGTTTTCACTCTAAAATATATTAATAATGCCTCTACCTCACTGAGTTTTTATAAGGATTAAGAGCAGTTAACATAGTAGTTAGTATTGAAATGTTAAATACTACTGTTACTGCTATTAACTTTTTTTTTTTTTTGCCCCAGGTTGCCTGAAATGCTTTAGTACTATGGTAAAGGAGTGTGTAAATATATGGGCAAATAAAAACCTTACAGAGCTTGGATAGATGTGCTAGATCTCTGAAATTTATAAAAAAAGACTTATGTAACAACCATAAAGTAGATGTTGGGTTTCTGATGAAGCCGGGAGTCAAAAAAAGTGGAGGAATACTGATAGTTCATGTAGTTCAAATTCTTTCATCTGATAGAAAAAAATCTGAAGTCTGAAGTCCAGAAATACAATATGACTTGCCCTCAATCTGCCTATAGTACACATGTGACACAGGTGCCCATTTATTACTTGCTGTGAGGCAGGAATGATGTAAGGTAGGACCAGGACTAGGGTAAGGCAAGTGAGGCACTAGAGTAGGAAAAAAAAATCTTTTTTTTTTGAGTTGGGATCACACTTTGTCACCCAGGCTGGAGTACCGTGGCATGATCACGGTTCACCCTAGCGTCAAATTCCTGGGCTCAAGGGGTCCTTTTGCCTCAACCTCTGGAGTAGCTGGAACTACAGATCCATGCCACCACGCCCTACTAATTTAAAAAATTTTTTTTGTAGATACGAGGTCTGGCTTTGTTTCGGCTGGTCTTGAACTCCTGAGCTCAAGCAGTTCTCCTGCCTTGGCCTCCCAAAGTGCTGGGACTATAAATGTGAACCACGACACCTGGACTAGAGTGGAAAATTTAAGGCAATTGGTGTCAGGGTTGTGTGAGTTCAGGCTCTATATTAGCACTATCCTGAAAGTGAGCACCTTCTTAAATTTTCCACTCAAGGCTACTCTTGCTTCACCACAGTTCTGCTTCTGATGTGTTACGGTATTGGAAATATGAAGATAGCTGGAACACTGATCAATTTCTTGGCCTCACTGAATTTGTCCTTTTCCTGGAGGAGAGTGCTAGAGATAAGTAACAGATGTGTGATAATCATTATCAAAGAGTTGAGAAAGAGCTACCTTAAGACCTGGGAATTAGGAAACATTTCCCGTATTATGAATTAGGAGTTAGCGAAGTATTTGGGTAGAATAAGAAGAAAGAATGGAACATTTCAAGCAGAAGTAGCATGTGCAGAGATCTGGCACTGAGAGCTTGACATTCTCTTTATTATTTTTTTATTTTGTGTGCCTCAGAATTATCTGGAGGGCTTGTTAAAACGCAGGTTACTGGGCCCTACCCTGATTCATTCGTTCTGAGGTGAGGCCTGAGAATTTACATTTCAAACATTCCCAGATGTTGCTGATTTTTACTGATCTGGGGACCACCTTTTGAGAACCAGTGCTTCATAGAGAAACTGCAGATAGTTTAGTACTGCTGGGATTTTTAGTGTTTGGTTGTTTGGGGAGTGTTGAGAATTGTGGTTAATGATATGAGCAAACTCTGGATGTAGATATAAATTGATATTGAAAATATTTGGACTTAATGCTGAAGCTATGATTGATAAAAGATTTTAAGCAGGACAGTAATGATCCAATTTTTGGTTTCCAAAGATAATTCTAGCAGCAGTGTGACAAATGGATTGAAGAACAACAAGGCAAGAGAGACATTAGTTAAGAGACTACTTTAATAATCCGATACAAAATGATGAGGGCCTCTGGAAATGACAGGCAAGAGAACTTTAAAGAAGCAGGTTTGAGAGAGGCATTAAGAAAGTAGGACTGATAGGATTTAGGGATTGTTGGTGGATAGGAACAGGCGTCTTGGATGTCTCATTTCTGATTTAGGCATCTGGATGGATAGGGGAGAGTGGTAGGTGAATATAATAAGTGTCAGCATATACTCATAGATAGTAATTAAAACTGTAGGTAGATATTCTTCAGAGAAATTATATGGAGTGAAAAACTGAAGCTGTAACTTTGGGGAATCCCAGGTAAGAATGGCCAGGAGAGTAGTGGGCAGAACCAGAGAGTGGTTTTGGAAGGTATTAACAAATTTAAAGGATCTGGTGCATGTATTTATAAATTGAAAAGTTGCATTGCTTAAAGAATTGAATTTAGCCTATGAGATTGATGTGTGTTTATGTGTTTATAAGTAAACACAAAGAGTGTTGTTTTATCAGTGAACCACTTCATCTGACAAACATTATGCTAATTTTATCATTGACTCCTTCAGGTCATGTTTATAACGGTTCTTCTCAAATAAGAAATGAGTCATCAGTGCATCTCAACAGTAGGCAAAAACCTGCTAAGAAAACAAATCAGTCATCTAAGATTATTGGGCAAAAAAAGATTCCAGTTAAAAGACAGAAAGCAGCAACTCAAGGCAGCTCAAGATTACAAAAGTTTTCCAGTGCTAAAGGTTCTGAAGATGCTATTGGCCAAGGCAAAATCTCCAGTTGTTCTCAGAATGAGCCATTGCAAAGTGACAAGGCAGATCTGACTAAGAAGAAAAATCTTGACTGTTCTAGGTAATGTCTATTGTGTGTACGATATAGTTATTTTTGTTGTTCAGCATTTAATAGTTTGTATTATTTCATCATTTCTAGAGAGGCAATATTAGCTTAAAGGGCTCTGCCCTCTGACAAACTTAGTAGTATTAAATCCAGTCTCTGTCATTAGCTGGGTGACATCCAGGCAGAGTAGTACCCTGAACTTGTTTTCTTATACTAAAATGAGGCATAATATATAGCAGATGGGATTATGATTGTTAAATTAATGAAGTATTGTCGCCTAAGAGTTGCTTCCTCTTTAAAAAAAAAAAAATGGTGGCTAAAAAGCATGTAACATAAAATTTACATCTTAATTATTTTTAAGTGTGTAGTTCAAATTGTTTTCTAAGTGAGATTAATGTAATTTCAGTAATTAGGAATGTAGGTCAGTACTTTTCCTCTTGAGATGATAATGGTTAACATTTTTTGAGTTCTTGCTGTATGCCAAGTGTTTGTTAGATATTTTAAATGAATTCTCATTAATTCTAACAACCTACTGTGGTAAGTATTGTTTTTATGCATTCTTAATTTTTGCTGTAGCATGCATTCAGCAAATATTTAATACATAGTTTGTGTTAGAAACAGTAGAATACTGAGGATATCCCAAAATAAATAATAGAATTACCTTAAACTATGTTAGTGTTTGTCATTACAGTGCATAAAGAAATCTCATAGACCTTCTATTTAGCTTTTTCAGACCATTCTCATGTCTGCCTTCTTTTTTAAATATGTTGCTGGATTTGGTTTGCTAGTATTTTGTTGAGGTGTTCTGGTCTTTGTCTAGTTTTGGTGTAAGGGTAATATTGCTTCATAAAATAAGTTGGGAAGTATTCTCTCTTCTGTTATTGAAGGAGCTTATGAATAACTCGTATGTATTCTTCTTTGAATGCTTGGTGTAGAATTCAGTGATGAAGCCACCTGAGCCTGAGCTTTTCTTTTTGGATATTTTTTTTTTTTTGGTTACTGATTTATAGGCCTTTTGAGATTATTTATTTCTTTTTGAATAAGTTTTGGTAATTGGTATATTTCTAGGAATTTGTCCATTTCATTTAGGTTATCTAATTTGTTGGCATATAGCTATTTATAGTATTCTCCTATTCTTTTTTTATTTCTTTTAACTCTGATGGTAGGACCCAGGAGGATAGTAGAGCCTAAAGAAATAAAGTATACTGCTTGCTAGGATAGAAATAGTGTCTCTTGTTTGCATATACTTAGGGTAAACTGATTAACTGGCAGCTACTGAAGAGATGAACTGGGTCCCTCTGAGGACTCTGTTGTCCCTTAGTGGGCTGACTTAGAGTATCAAAGAAAACAAGTTTATTTATTGATTCTCTAGAAAATTGTGATAGATTAGCTGTATAATATATATCATAAGCTGCCTGTAGATAAGGTCTTTCTCTGTTCTTCTGACATCACTTACATCTTAGTTAGACCAGTCTGCATCATTTCTTTTATCAGAATTTTTCAAGTTGGAAGTCTTGGTGGGTCTTAGAAACACATTTTCTTCCAGAGCTAATTGTAAGTCTTGGGACCTAAACAGATTGATCTGATATTTGTTATAGTCAGTATTATATTGTCTATGTATTCACCTGTGTATTATTTTTGAAAGAAATATTTCTTGAAGAAGTATAAACAGTTATAAATTTTTCATTTTTGTAGATCCACAGGAAGTTCAGAACATCAAGATGGTACTATGACTGCACAAAATGTTAATCCAAAGACTACGACCAGTGGCAGGATACCAACAGAGTCTAAGTTGTATTCTGAAGAGTCTAAGACTTCTATGTTGGAGGAAAGGTATGCATGTATTCTAAGGATAATAGGATTTACTCACTATATTAGCTACCCTTGCTGTGTAACATATTACCCCAAAAGTAAATTTTAATTTTGTTATTGGCAGCAAACATTTATCGTTTCATAGTTTTTGTGGGTCAGCAATCTGGGAAAGGCTTAGCAACTATTTCTGGCTTAGGAATTTTCAGGAGATGTCAGTCAAGATGTCTGTCTGGTTTGTGGTCCTTTGAAGTTCTGTCTGAAACTGGAGGATCCACCTATAAGATAGCTCACTCACAATGGCTGTTGGCTAGAGAGCTCTGTTCCTTGCTGGTTGTTGATAGTAGACCTTAGTTTCCTGCTATGTAGCCTCCTCAGCTGCTGAGTATATCAGCTGGCTTCCCGTCAAAGCAAGTGATCCCAGAGAAAGTGTGACTATAATGGAAATCACAGTATCTTATAATGAATTAGTCTTTGTTTTATGCAGCAGGTATTGCAGTTAACCCTCTGTACCTCTGGGTTCTGCATCCACTGATTCAACCAACCACAGACCAAAAATATTTGGAAAGATCAGCTGTGGTGGCTTATGCTTGTAATCCCAGTACTTTGGGAGGTTGAGGTGGGAGGATCGCTTGAGGCCAGGAGTTTGAGACCGGCTTGGACAATAGAGAGAGACCTTGTTTGTATAGAACATCAAAAAGAAAAAAGAAGAGGAAGTATTTAGAAAAAATACACAACAATAAAAAGTAACAGTACAACAATAAAAGCAGTACAAACAAAAAAACTACATTATAATAATGATTTATATGACATTTACATCCTGTTAAGTATTATAAGTAATTTAGAGATGATATAAGTAATGCAAATCCTGCACCATTGTATGCAAAGAACTTGACTATCCTTGGATTTTGATATCCATAGTGAGTTCTAGGACCAATCTCCTATAGAAACTGAAGGAGGACAGTTGAGGGGGATGGGCAAAAACCCAGAATTTACTTATTAAAAATTGTCTATTTATTCTTACATATTTAAACTTTAGTCACCTTCAAAGTACTCTTCATTTGATGTGATACACCTATCAACATGCTTTTTTCCGCTGCTCAAAACAGTTTTTGAACCCATCAATTTCGATGCCTTTAAGTGCTTTTGCCATTTTTTGCTTCACTTCCACATTGGCAAAATGTTTTCCTTTGAGGACTTTCTTCATCTGGGAAAACAAAAAAAAAGTTGCTCAAGGGAGATTGGGTGAATAGGGAGAGTGGGACATGGAGGTCATGCCGTTTTTGGTCAAAAGCTCTAGAACACTGAGGGTATTGTGAGCAGGCATGTTTGTTGTTGTGGAAGAACCAGTCACCTGCTTGCCACAACTTGGGATGTTTCTTTCACAAATCGTAATACGACCTTCTCAAAACCAGATAAAAATTTTGTTGACCATTTGATCTGGAGGAACAAATTCCAAATGTACTATAAGGGGCCTTTCATCCAAAAGATAATTCTGGGTTTCTGGGGGGATCCCCTGTATATTCTTGGTGACCTATAACATCATTATTGGTTTTATAAGAAAGAAACCTATGACAGTTTTAGGAGAAAAGTTATCATTAAGGTGGATATGTTAGATACATATATTATCAAAGCATATATTTTGTGGCTTATTTTTTTTCTTAAGTGGACCCTCCAGGCTCAATAATTACATACTGTCTGGAAAGAACAATTCCGATGTGGAGGATGAGGAAATCCTGGAAAGTTCAGGTAAATTATTATTTATTTTCTATTATCTTTTTATGGCATTCTGAATATGAAGTAAGGTGTGCTGTGTTTCATTTAAATTATCATTGATGGCAACCGTAAATTGAGTACTTACTCTTAAGATGCTTAGTATATAGTGATTGATTAGTAAGATCCTGTACCTAGGGGAGAGAGAAAGAAACTGAGTGAGTTATTTAAGTAGAATGTGAGGAAATAATGAGTATTGGTGTTTAGGGTGTCTACTTATTTAATAAATAAATTTGTTAAGCCAATACGGGTATGCATGAAATAAATTAGCCATCTGTTGATGATTACTGAAGCTAGCTGATACGTGTATTGGGTTCATTATACTAGTTTGTCTATTTTCAATATGCTTGAAACTTCTCAGCTAACGTTTTAAAAACACTTCTTAATAGAAATTTTTGTAATTATTTTATGCTGTAAAAACTTGTGTGCTTAGATATAATCTGTTCTTTCATTTTTTTCCTTCCTGATTCACTAATTCTTTTAACTTTTTAATTCTTTTACCCTATTTTAGGTTTATTTTATTATTTTTCTCTTTTAACTTGAATACTTTATTTTTCTACTTTTTCTTTGGTAAAGAAAAAGCAGTGAATTTCCCTGAGTAGTTTTGGCTTTGTTGTACAGGTTTTTCTATGTAGTATTATTTCAGTATATTCTAAATTATAGTGATGATTTTTCTCTGATCCATCAGTTACTTAAAAGACTGCTAATGCGGATTAGTTAGAACTTGTTCTCCAGAGTCAGACACATGGAATTGAATCTAGCTCTACTACTTATCTTTTTATTATTATTATTATTATTTTCATTCACCACTGATCAGAAGGCATAACTACATTATCTTGAGTAAGAAATTCCAGTGTTCTTGTTGGTATCTTCAGTTTCCCTATCTGTAAAATGATGATATGAATTCTAATCCCATAACTTGATATAATGAGGATGAATATATAATTCTTAATTTTAAAATCTGGTTTATATCGCATACCCAATTTTGGCTGTGATTCTAAGAAGTTGTGTTTTATTTTGTTTTTTTTTTTTAATATTTTTTGGTTTCATTTCATCATTCTGGAGAACTTGCTTGGCCGGTATTGTTTATTGTTTGAATTTACTAAGGTTTTCTTTGGGTTCTAGTCTCTAGTATATGCTTAGTTTCTATAATTTTTCCATGGGTTCTTGAAAAAGAGGGAATATTTAAGAATTTAAAAATAAGGATTTGTTTAAAGATTTAAAAACTGGTCATTATTTTATTGATAATATAAGTGGATACATTTTTTGAATATAATTAAATATTTATGGAATCTTGAATACTTACAGAGAATATTGTGGAATATTTACTGTGTATTCTTTTAAGGGCTTAGGGGTGTGTCAGTGAACTAAACCGGCAAAAATTCCTGCCCTTCTGGTGCTTGCTTTCTGGAGGGGCAGGATGGCAGATCATATAAAAGATAGCAAAACGTATGATTTGTTAGATGTTGAGAGTGGGTAATGGAGGCTATATTTTTAGGTAGATGGGTAGAGAAGGACTCCCTGAGAAGTGATCATTTGAGTGAAGACATGAAAGAAGTGAGACAGCAAACCATGCAGCTGTCTGTCCTAGGCAGAGTGAAACTCAAGGGCAAAAGTTCTGATGTAGTAAAGAGTCTGTCTTGATCAGGGACCCCCAAAGAGGCCAGGGAGCTGGAGCAGAAGAGAGAGAAAGCAGTAGGAGATGATGGCATGTGGGTAACAGAATGAAAGATCAAATAGGATGTTAAAGGCTATTAATAAGGCCCTTTGACTTTTACAAAGATATGGGAAGCCACTGGAGGGTTTTGAGCAGGGGAGATGCATGACAGACACCCAGTGGCTGCTGTGTTAGGAATGGACTGATGGAGTTGAAGGAACAGAGGAAGACTGGAAGCAGGGAGACTGACTAGTCGATGAGATACTGGAATAGTCCTAGTGAGAGGAGGTGTGGCTTAGATCAGGTTGTTAGCAATAGAGGGGAGATCAGTAGTAGGATTTTTAGATATTTTTGAAGATGGAGTCAACAGGATTTCCTGATGGATGGATGTGGTGTGTAAGAGATAGGTGACAGGGATAACTCCAAGGTTTTTGGCCTGAGGACCTGGAAGAATGTTGTTGTCATTACCTGATTTAGAGACTATTGGTTAAGAAGCAGATTTTGGGGGAAAGAACAGGATGCTAGATTTTGACATGCCAAGCTTGATATTAGTCTGATCATTTGTATTCTTTTTATTTGAGATCTGTTAAGGACTGCTAGAGTTGAAGGCAAATGTTCCCACTGCAACTGTTCTTATATTTCCTTTGGTCTTTGTTACGTACATTTCAGTGCTGTTATTGTACATTTTAGCTTTCTTATAGAATGCACTTGGCTTTGGTCAAATTTATCTTCTTGATTCTGTTAAATCATGTTAGTTTGTAGTCTGTGACCTCTACTTTTTTTAGTTGTTTCTTACCTTTGTTCATTCTTCTATTTAACCTTTCTTAGAGAACTAAAAGTGGCTTAGAAGCAGCAAATGATTGAATTGTTAGTTTTTGACTTGCTGTGTCATTATTCTTTCTTTTAATAAATATGCCTAACACATTTGCACTTGAACAGATATGCTTGTTATTTCTTTGTAAGGTTGATAGACATTCTCACATACACTAGCAAGGACTTAGGATTTTTTTTTTTCTTTTAATGCAATGAATTTCCAGTGAAATAGGAAAAACAGTTTTGAGTCATGATCTTGTTTTGCCCTTAAACTATCTGGCTATTGCTCTTTTGTTTCACAAAAGTTTTTGCTTATGAATAGAAATTGGAAAGCAGCCTTATTTTTTTCCCCCTTTGTGGGTAGCTTGTTTTCTTACATGTTCATGCTTATTAGGATTTTTTAATCTTTGAAGTTCAGGAGTTGCCTCTGTGTTACTCACTTAAAAAAAATAACTTACTCTGAAATAAGCTCAAACTTAAACTAAAATATCATATCTCCCCTTCATCCAGATTTTGTAGTTGCCCACATTTTACATTTGTTTTATTTCCCTTTCTACCTCCTCTAATAAATATTTATATATGTTTGTTATCACTCATCTTTTTCGGAACAATTTAAGAGGGAGTTGTAGGCAGGGTGTGTTAATTCCCTTAAATACCCCATAATGTATTTCAGCAAGATAAGAATATAACCATCCTCCAACCATTCAAATAAGGAAATCAGCACTAATAAAACACTTCTGTTCATTCACAGACCTGTATTCAAGTTTCACCAGCTATTCCTTTCCCTCTGGTTCAGGATTGAATTTTGGATCATGGACTGCATTTAGCAATCATGTTCCTTCAGTTTCTTTCAATATGAAATAGAGTAGTTCCTTAATTTTTCCCCAACTTTCCTGACACTGACTTTTGTAAAGGCTTAATAAAAACCTATAGGCTTTTCATGCTTTTAGAATGACCTTCAACCTGGGTCTTTCTGATGTTTCACAATCAAATGTGGGCCTTGCTCATTTGACAGGAATACTACAGAAATGATGCTGTGTTGTAATTTGTCATCACAGAAGAGGCACACAATATTGACCTACCCACATGATGTTAATCCTAATCCCCTGTTCAATTTCTTGTCTGCCAGCTTTCTTTATAGTAAAGACACTTTTTCTTTTATAACTGATAAATATGATTGTGGAGTGATATTCTGATGCTATTTTAATATCCTGTTTTTTACCAAACCTCCATTCACCAACCTTAGCATCCATTGAAGATTCCCACTTGAATTGTCAGCCACTAGTGATGGTACCAAATTACTTTCTATTATTTAATTGGCTTCTTCTCCATTAATTAGTTGACAGTCTGCTATAAGAAATAGTATTTATCCCCATGGCATTTATTCATTGTTCTTTTTTTAAATATTAGTATGGACTACTGGGTTTATATTCTGTGTGGTTGTAATCTTCATCATTTATTATGATAGTCATATTGTGGTAGATTTCGTTAGTGGACAGAGATAGGACATAACTACACATACATGCACAGATATGTACATATATACAACATACATAACACAGGCATTTTATCTGTTTCTATATTTTTACAGGTGTACCTCATTTTATTTTACTTTTCTTTATTGCCCTTTGCAGATAGTGTGTTTTTTACATATTGAAGATTTATGGCAACTCTGTTGAGTAAGTCTTTATTAGTGCCATTAGCTCACTTTGTGTGTCTGTGTCACATTTGATAATTCTTACAATATTTCAGACTTTTTCATTGTATCTGTTATGATCCGTGAGCAGTGATCTTTGATATTCTTACTGTAATTGTTTTGGGGCATCACAAACCACACTCATGTAAGACTATAAACTTACTGAGAAATGTTCTGTGTGTTCTGACTACTTTACTGACTGACTGTTTGTCCATCTTTCTCCCCCTACTTGGGTTTCCTTATTTCCTGAGACACAACAGTATTGAAGTTAGGCCAGTAATAACCCTGCAGTGGTGTTCAAGTGAAAGGAAGCCACATGTTTCTCACATTAAGTCAAAAGCTAGAAATGATTAGGCTTAGTGAAGAAGCATGTTGAAAGCCATAACAGCCTGAAAACTAGGCCTCTTGCACCAAACAACAAAGTTGTGAATGCAGAGGAAAAGTTCTTGAAGGAAAATATAAGCATACTTCAGTGAATACATGAATAATAAGAAAATGAAACTGTCTTATTGCTGATATAAAGTGTGAATGGTGTGAATATAAGATCAAACTAGCCACACATTCTCTTAAGCCAAAACCTAATCCAGAGCAAGATCCTAACTCTTCATTTCTGTGAAGACTGAGAAAGGTGAGGAAGCTACCAAAGAAAAGTTTGAAGCTAGCAGAAGTTGGTTCTTGAGGTTCAATTAAGAAAGAATCTTTCTCCATAACACAAAGTGCAAGATGAAGTAGCAAGTACTGATGTAGAAGCTTTGCAGCATGTTATCCAGAAGACAGCTAATGAAGGTGGTTACACTAAACAAAAGATTTTCAGTGTAGATGAAACTGCCTTCTATTGGAAGAAGGTGCCATCTAGGACTTCTACAGCTAGAGAAGAGGAGTCAGTGCCTGACTCAATGCTTCAAGGGGCAGACACTCTTGTTAAGACCTAATGCAGCTGGTGATTTAAGTTCAAGCCAATGCTCATTTCCATTTTAAGAATCCTAGATCCCTTAAGAATTATGTTAAATCTCTGCCTGTCCTTTATAAATGGAATAACAAAGCCTGGGATGACAGCACATCTGTTTGCAGCTTTGCTTACTGAATATTTTAAGCCCACTGTTGAGACTTACTGGTCAGAAAAAAAGATTCCTTTCAAAAATATTACTGCTCACTGACAATACACCTATCTACCCAACCACTCTGATGGAAAGGTACAATATTAATGTTTTCATGCCTCCTAAAACAACATCCATTTTGCAGCCTATGGATCAGGGAATAATTTTGCCTTTCAAGTCTTATGACTTAGGGAATAGATTTTGTAAAGCTTTTGCTGCTGTGGATAACAATTCCTTGATATATCTGGGTAAAGTAAATTGAAAACATAAAAGGGATTCACCATTCTAGATGCCATTAAAAACATTTGTGATTCATGAAAGGATATCAAAATATCAACATTAGCAGGAGTTTAGAAGTTGATTCCAATCCTCATAGATGATTTTGAAGGGTTCAAGATTTTAGTGGAGGGTGTAACTGCAGATGAAGTATAATAGCAAGAGAACTAGAATTTGAAGTGGAGTCTGGAGATGTAACTGAATTGCAGCAATCTCATGATCAAAATTGACCAGATGAGGAGTTGTCTTATGGATAAGCAAAGAAACTGACTTCTTGAGGTGGAATCTACTTCTGGTTAAGATATTAGGAACATTGTTGAGATGACAACAAAGGATTTAGAATATTTCATAAACTTAGTTGATAAAGCAGGGTAGGGTTTGAGAAGATTGACTCCAATTTTGAAAGAAGTTATACTGTGGGTAAAATGTTATCAAGCACCATCACATGCTACAGAGAAATCTTTTGTGGAAGAAAGAATCAATGACTATGGCAAACTTCATTGTCATATTTTAAGAAATTGCCTCAACCACCCCAACCCTCAGCAATCACTACCCTGACCAGTCAGCAGCCATCAACACTGAGGCGAGGTCCTTCACCAGAAAAAAGATTGTCTCACTGTAGGCTCAGATGGTCTTTTTCATCTTTTAGCAATAACATTTTAAAACTAAAGTGTGTAAATATTTTTAGACATAATGCTCTCGTATACTTAAAGAGACTACAGTATAGTGTAAACATACTTTTATATTTACTGAAATCAGAAAAATTATGTAACTCACTTTATTGTACAGTGGTCTGGAACTGAACTCACAATGTCTCTGAGGCATGCCTGTTATTTAGAAATCATGAATTCACATCACTCCCTCCAATTCTAGTTCAATACAGACTTACCCTTTTCCATTTTTATAAGCCTCCTTTCAAATAGTGGGAAACTTGATTCCCATTATCATCAATATATTTACTCATTTGTATGGTTCCTCCTGTGATCCTATTGCTGCCTCTGAGACCCACTACTTTGGGAAAGTTTCTGACAGACAAGACGTCCTGTTCTGTTTTGGTGGAGACTGTATGAATTTCTTCTTTTTTCTTGGTAACAAATTTATTGAGTTAGACTTTACATACTATACAGTTAATCCATTTATAGTGTACAAATCAGTGAATGGTGTGAAGTCATCACCACAATCAATTTTAGAACATTTTCATCACTCCCCAAAATAAATCTCCATATCTTTTAGCAGCCACCTTTCTTTCCTTTTCCTCCCAAGTCTAGGCAACTACTGATCTACTTTTGGTCTCTACGAATTTGACTATTTTGGACAGGGAAACTAGATGTTAAGATCACCAAAGTGTGGGAATCTGCCATGGGAGGGAAGGGCACACCTCATCAACAAGGTTAGCTACATAATGAGCATTTGTATACTTAACCCTGAATTGTACCCCACAAATAAAAAAATAAAATAAAATAATTAGGCTGAGCTCAGTGGCTCAGCCTGTACTCTCAGCACTTTGAGGGGCCAGGGCAAGAAGATTGCCTGAGCCTGAAGATTGCCTGAGCCTGAGGGTTTAAGACCAGCCTGGGCAACATTGTAGAGACAATTTGATTTATTGTCTCTACAATAAATCAAAAAATTAGCTGGGCATGGTGGCGTGTACCTGTATTTCCAGCTACTTGGAAGACTGAGGCGGAAGGATCCCTTGAGCCCAGCAGTTCGAGGCTGCAGTAATTCGGAGCGTGCCACTGCTCTCCAGCCTGGGTGACAGAATGAGACTCCAACTTAAAAAAAAAAAAAAAAAGATCACTGAAGTTTCTTCCAATCCAGCAGTTTTATAAAATATCAAATTCAGTCATTTAAAAATTTTTCTTGCTTTCACGGACTCATTTGAGAATGTGATGAAATCTTAGACTCACTTTTAAGGAAAAAATATGTTACCAATTTTAGGTGACTTGTGAACATTAAGTGTCCCAGTTACATAATTAACCACCCCAAAATTTAATACAATTGGTTTATCCATCTGGGTTCTGTGAGTTGACTTGGCTTAGCTGGCCAGTTCTTACTTGGACGCTCTCATATATTCGTTGTTAGATGCAGCCTGCTGAGGCTGAAGTCATCTGAAAGTTCAACTGGGCTGTATATCCAAGGTGACTTCCTCACTTATATAGATGGCACCCAGCTAAGACAGCTGGAATGTTGAGGGCTAGTTAAGCATCTCTTCCTCTCCATGGCCATCTTGAGTTTCTTTACAGTATGGCAGTCTTGGGGTAGTCAATCTTCAGATATTGTTGATGTCTTTCCCCAGAGTGATCCTAAGAAACCCAGGTGGAACCTGCTTATCTTATTAGTACTTAGCCTTCTAAGTCCCAGAACATAATTTCTGCATGTTCTATTAGTCAAACAAGACATTAAAGCCAGCAGAGATTGAAGGAGAAGGGAATGAGACTGTGCACCTACAGAACATCTGTGCATGGGACAGGAAAGAATTGATGGCAGCTATCTTTAGATGTTGTTTATCACACTTAAGCTTGAGAATCCTTGAGCCCACTGAACTCATTGACATATTGCAAAATTCAGTACATTTGTACTATTTTAGAACTTTAAAGATCTAAAGTAATACTAAAGTATAGAATACATCACAAATTAGGTAAGAATATTTTTTCTTTTAACATTTCTATTGAGAAAAATGCTATCTTTAAGTTTCTGATTCTAAATTTAACTTACTGTCCCTTAAGCAGGAAAAGTTCTATTTAGATTATCTGGTAGATAAATTAAAATTATGTGGGCAGATCATAGATAACATTATTAGCACATTAATATTTTATTATGTCCTACATTTTAATCCACGAAGTCTATTTCACTTATCAATGAACAATAGAAAACTTGTTTATTTATTTGTTTTTTTCAAAATGAAATATCTTTAATTTTTTCTTTTCTATGCCAACAAATCACCAAGATTTCTTTGATAGCGGGAATCTGAAACTCATTTGTGTAAAGCAGAAACTCTCAGAAAACATTCTACAAAGGAAGGACATGAAATTCTTAGTATGAAATAGGGATTGTGTGTTGAGACTATCTTCACCCAGAGAAACCAGGTTTTTGTGGTTCTCTAACATCACATTCCTGTGTAAAATCCGCTGAGCAGGGTCCAGAGATTTCCACTCTTCTGGAGAGAATTCTGTGGCCATATCCCTGAATGTCAACAGCCCCTGAGAACCAGTCATTTCTTCCTCTTTCTCCTCCTTCTCTGGGATTTCTTCTGAGATGAGATTATCTGGACAAGTCACACCTGCAGGTCACAGGAGGACAGAGGCTGCAACGAAGACACGTGGAGCTCCCGGAGGTCAGGACAGCACAGTTGGAACGACCTAGCTCTGTGCACAGGCGCAGGAGACCTTTTTTATTTTTTTTAACTGTGGTATACTCTTTAGATATATTCATTGTAGCAAAGCTAGAGAAATGTGCTGATTTTTCTTAGTTTTAACTCCTCAGCAAAGAAAGGCAAAAGGAACAATAAATGTGTTGTGAGGTCAAATTTTAATTTTAAAATGTTTATACTGAAGATAACCAAGGAAAACAATGGAGTAGCAGTCATTGCTCATGATATCTTTTTCATTTTGTAGATGACTCAAAAAGATCTAATGTGATACCAAAGAACAGAATGCATCACAAATTAGGTAAGAATATTTTTTCTTTTAACATTTCTATTGAGAAAAATGCTATCATTAAGTTTCAGATTCTAAATTTAACTTACTGTCCCTTAAGCAGGAAAATTTCTTTTATTTAGATTATCTGGTAGATAAAATTATGTACTTAATTTTTAAAAATTTTACATTAAATAATCACAAGTCACGGAGTTAGTCTGTTGTCCATTTGTAATTCCTATAGTCCTCTCTCTTTTTGCTCCATAGTATGGGGCGTGAGTGTAATCTTACCCAATCTTTGAAGCTTGGGTAGATAATTTTGTCAAAGAATATTACTGTTAGGTAGATGACTTCTCTGACAGCTTCTCCCACTTTCATCCAGTTAACTCCTAAACAGAGCAGTAGCTAGAATGGTAAGTAAATAAAACTGGGAGCTGTGGAATCTGTACATGTGAGGATCAAAATTTATGGTTCCTAAAGAGATACTTACGAGTCAAGATTCATGGTAGCTTCTACCTTTGATGTTAGAGTGACTTTCTATGTTCCTCCCTTTAATTGAGGCTGTGAGTGCTCTTATATTCTTGACTAAAGATAACCAGTGGAAGGGGAAGCTTTTTCCCATTGTGCCACTCAAGAACTTACACCTACCCGGGCTTGGTATTACCTGACCTGTAATCAGCCTGTAATCCCAGCACTTTGGGAGGCTGAGGTGGGTGGATTGTCTGAGCCCATGGGTTCGAGACCAGCCCGGACAACTTGGGCGGGACCTCATCTCTATAAATCAAAAATTAGCTGGGTGCCGTAGCATGCGCCTGTAGTTCCGGCTACTTGGAAGGCTGAGGTGGGAGGATTGCTGGAGCCCAGCAGATCGACGCTGGGGTGGCCATATGTGTGCCACTGCACTCTAGCTTGGGTGACCAAGTGAGACTGCAAGTCAAAAAAAAAAAAAAAAAAAGAAAGAACTTATACCTTGTCAGTATTTCATGGAGAGTATTTGATGAAGAGAGACCGCTGTACTTCTCAACATTTAATACTTGTCTTGGAGTAAAGTGATAAATGGAGTCAGGAGGAGGCAAAGGAAAATAAAAATGTTCCTGAGCAGGGGTATTGGTATCCATAGAGAGGAAAAATTAAGCATTATGCCAAAGAGCAGTATGCAACTTCTGGCTAACTTTTAGTCAACTCTAGCAAACAAATTAAGAACATAGAAATTTGATGATGAGACCAATAAACTGAGTATATAGAAATTTTCATTTTTCAGGTAAGATGAGTGTACCATAGTCAACCCTGGGTGTTACTAAATTTTTAAATATTTGCCAATTTGGTAGCCTATATTTTCATTGTAATTCCTTTAGTTATTGGTATAGATATATGTATTGTTTTTCTAGTCTTTTGTCTAGAAAGTATTCATGTTCTATGAAATAGCATTCATGTTCTAAAAGGTAATCTTCACTGCCACGTATTATCAAATATTTATATACGTACATTTTTGTCTGACGTTCTTTTGCAGTATTGCCCTCCAACACACCAAATGTTCGTAGAACCAAGAGAATACGTTTGAAACCTTTGGAATACTGGCGAGGAGAGCGAATAGATTATCAAGAAACACCATCAGGTAAAACCTAATTTATATTATAATGTCTGTAAATAAGAAATTTATGTTTACTATGTGCCAGACACTGCCTTACACATTTGCATTTATTACTTGTTTAATCATCACCCCCTAAACTCTGATAAGAATAAGATTTAAATCCAGATTTATCTGATTACAATAGATCAGACTATAAATTGTCACCCTCTCCCCTTTCGTAGCCATTTGACCATGTGGCTACATATAATGTGTTGTTATTTTTTATATTATTTGACAAAGTTTTTAATTGCATAAAATAAAGCATTAGAGTATGACATTAGAAAATTATAACTGGCAAAGGTAAAATAGTTCTCATTATAATTTCTGTCAGCCATTTTCTTATAGTTTTCTACAACATGGTATAGGGTGGGCAAGAAAATACAGTGTTTTCTTGAAGTTATTTTCTTTATTTGATATATTGAAGTCAAAGGACTTAAACTCACCTGCAGATTTCTATAAATAATTCATTGCTAGCCTTTTTTTAAAAAAAAGCCTCCCATGGTGACTGTTGATATCAAGCAAGCAATAGAGATCATCCAATCTTGTTGCACTAGTGTTTTTAGATTTAGGGTGGTAGAGACATAAGTGAAATTGGTTGGTATTTATATTATTGGAACTATTAGCTGTAGAATAATATATTCTTTGGTACTTTGAGAGAAAGGAGCCATATTAATTTATAGAGTTTTGTTTTGAGCTTTTTTGTTTCCCATGTGTGATGTTTTACCTTTTTTGTTTTTATATTTCAGGAGGATATGTGATTGGTGGAATATTATCTCCAGACACGGTATTACCTAAAAGGAAAGCAAAAGAAAACATTGAAAAAGTCAAAAAAGGGAAAAAGATCTGTCTTGACAATGACGAAAGAAGTATGAACTTATTTCTGAAAGTAACTTTTAAATTTTATTTTAAATAAGAGTTCTCTGGCTGGGCATGGTAGCTTACACCTGTAATCCCAGTGCTCTGGAAAGCTGAGGTGGGAGGATTACTGCCCAAGAGTTTGAGACCAGCCCTGACAGCATAGCAAGATCTCTTCTCTACAAAAAATCAAAAAAGTTAGCCGGGTTTGGTGGTAATGTACCTGTGGTCCCACCTACTTGGGAGGAGGGGGCAGGAGGCTCGCTTCAGCCCAGGAGGTCTAGGTGACAGTGGGCTATGAGCGTGCCAGTGCAGTCCAGCACGGGGGTCAGAGCAAGACCCTGTCTCTAAATAAATAAGTAAATAAGTAAATGAATGAATGAATGTTCCTTGGGAAGAAGCTCTTATCAAAATTTGAAACTTCCAAAAATTTCAGACATAATAATATATAAGTAAGCCGGGCTCGGTGGCTCAGCCTGTAATCCTGCGCTTTGGGAGGCTGAGGTGAGTGGATTGCCTGAGCCCGTGGGTTCGAGACCCACCTGGGCAACTTGGCGAGACCTCATCTCTACAATAAAATAAAAAAATTAGCCGGGCATGGTAGCACGCACCTGTAGTTCCAGCTACTTGGAAGGCTGAGGTGGAAGGATCGCCAGAGCTCAGCAGGTCAAGGCTGTGGTGGCCAGGAGTGGTCACTGCACTCCAGTCTGGGCAACAGAGTGAGATTCCAACTCAAAAAAAAAACAACATAATAGTATAAGTAAAATTTATTTTTCATGTCCATTTTTTTCTTGCAAGCTAATTTTATTCTTTAAAAAACTATCAATAACATATTATAACACATTTCTCTATGAGTAAACTGCCCACTCAAATGAAACTTATCTTTTCTATGCCCAAACTGTGTTACAGTAGACATTTTAATGAATTCTTTCTAAAATGTACTTTAAGTAAGTAGTTTGTATTTCAGTGCTATTTGTTTTACAGAAACTAGATTAATAGTAAATCTGGATATACCTCTTGGAGATCCTTTGCAACCATCGAGGGTAAAGGACCCAGAAACAAAAGAGATTATTCTTATGGGTAAGATCAGGGATATTGAAAATACTTAACAACTTGTAAGAAAAATCTACTGGCTTGATGATTGGCCTTTCCCTTTCTTCAACTTTCCCTTTCTCTCCTTAACTCTTTTAGAGTGAAAGTTCAGAAGAGAGTCTAATTCCTATAAGCAGCCTATGTGAGGACAGCGGTGAGGGAGTATTGATGACAGCCAACTTCCAGTGGACATATAGCACCATGCATTTGTCCTCTGGAGAACAAGTACTACAATCAGAAGTGTTGTCTCCTCCAACAGAGTCTAGATCTTTAACCAGGAGGACACATGGGTACAGGGCTATTTACTGGGAATGGTAGCAAGTTAGTTGGCAGACCCAAGGATGTACTCTTACTGTGAGGCCAGGAGGAGATTGAGTAGGGCAAGGCAAGCTTCTGGGTCCATAAATGGCAATAATGGCACCTGAGACATAAAACCTTTGTGAGGGTGACTAGTGAGGACATCAGTCAATCATATAAATGTCAGCCTTAAGGTTGGCACAAATTAGTTGCCATACTATATAGGCATTAAATATTTAGTCACTGGCAGACCATAGAAGGTCTCAAGGGTTGGGCTACAATAGGATAGAGATTTAGAGAATGCTCAACTATTTATCAACCAGGTAATATTTATATACTAGAAATAATTAAATATTTTAACTTATGACTATACCATTGAGTACTGAAGACTATTTTTCCTAAGGCAGAGGACAAATAGGTCAAACCAGAAAGGTGGTGATGGTATTCCCACTTAAATTTTTTACTATGAAATAGGTTTTATTTTACATCTTAAGTTAACGTCATAGCAAGGTTATTTCTATATTTAGATTGTTTATTTGGCAGTAGAGGTAGGAGTACAGTGTGTTTTGTTTAGTGTCTTATTAAAAGCATTGCTGTACTCTACTAAGTTAGAAACATTGTTAGTGTTGTCAGGATTTGTTCTTTTAATCTGTTTCTTGAATCTGTATTTTTCCATGTTGTATAGTCTGTGGAATCACTAACATTTCCAAATATCTAGGGAAATAAGAGTCAGAAGTTGATGATAGAAGAATGTATTAATTATAGATCTGGAAAGGTTTATAAGTAAAAGGGACGTTTTTGAAAGTGAGGTAATAATTTGTGAGTAGCAGTTAGAACTCTGGTTTCTCATAGCCTTTCCCTAGTAAATAAAAATCTTATCAGTCATACAGGAAAAAAAAGTTTTTTGGCATGGTGATGATACATTTGTGGGTTATGTTAAACTTTTTTACAAGAGGGAATTCTTTCTTGTATTTTAGCTCATTTTATTTGTCTCAGCAAATAAAATAGAAATAATCGTGTCATTACTATGAAGCTAAGACTTACATGATACTGTGTGCTAGACAGTGTTTTAAATCATTTATACACACTCACTCTGCTATTCACAGCAACTCATTAGTAGAGATGGTCCTATTCTTACTCCATTTTACAGAAAAGGAAATTGAGACAGAGAGAGCGCTCAAGTAACTTGCCTAAGATCATGCAGCTTATAAGACAGGCAGGATTTGACCGCTGACATTTTAGTTCGAATCAGTGATCTTTCAGTTCTGTCTCTCTAAGTCAGGTTTATATTTAAAATAGCTTTTTATTATATATAGTATATATGTTATGTTATGTTATTGACCAATAATACTTTATATTTGTGTTACTATTTTTTTTCCTAGATCTTATAAGACCACGAGATACATATCAATTTTTTGTTAAGCATGGTGAGTTGAAAGTATATAAATCGTTGGATACACCCTTATTTTCTACTGGGAAATTGATATTAGGACCACATCAAGAAAAGGGAAAACAGCATGTTGGTCGAGATATATTAGTGAGTATATATCTTTTTACATTTGTGTTTTGCTATATAGGTAAAATTCTGATTTCTTGGATTTGTCAAAGCATTGAAATACTGTTTCCTCAGAAATTAAGTTTATTACTACATTACACAGAAAAATGTGTCTATTTGTTAAATCTGTTTGAAATGTTTTAATTTGTTAAACCTGTTTAGTTGACCAACATTTATTTAAAAGTACCTGTTCTATACATAGGACTGTAGTTGTGAGGTTCAGAAGTTTAAAGAATAGTCTTAGAATCTTAGAATATAGGTTTGTGAACAAATCATTAAAATTTTAGAGTTGGAAGGGATTATAGAGATTGAGGCTAATTGCACATTTCTCTGATCATGCAACTGAAAAATAGCTTAAAAGTATTCTTAAAAAATCACCTATATTCCAGTTACCCTGATTTGATCATTACACATTATATACTGGTGTCAGAATATCACATGTACCATAAAAATATGTACAGCTATTATACTATATATCAGTTTTTAAAAACCTGAAAAAAATAAAAATGAGAGAGTAACGAAAAATTTACTTAACTATTTAACAGTAGACTCAGGACTAAGCACTTGTTGCTTCAATAAGTACTAAGTAATATACTACTATATATACCAATCTCACTGGCTACAGTTATAATAAGGTTCAAGGTAAATCAGTCCATCTCTTTATCTTCTTTCCCTCGCTCCCCGTCCCCCCACTGGAGACATATACTTCTGCAATTTGGTTTGATTTATATATATAATATTTATAAAACATAATATTCTGTGTTCTGAGTTTATCAGCTACAGAATTTGAAAACATAAAATTTAAGAGTATTTATCATTATACAGCATTTAAAAAATATTATAAGTAAGGCACATTTTTCAGTATGTGATATTTCAGGAATCTGTGAAATCATGAGTTACTGAAGTATCACATACAAAACTCTTCTTTTTGCTGACAAATTTAAGGTAAGTTCAAAAAAGAGATTAAAAAACATGAAGACCTTTGAGTTTATATTAATGAAGAACAAATTTAGGCAAGAATAGGAAAAGGTACATATGAGAGGCAAAAGATTAATTTATTACTACATCAGTATAACTAGAATCCTGATTTAAAATAATAAATATCTACTAATCCAATCTTAGAATGTCATAGACCTCCAGTTACTCTTATAAGAGTAAAAAATAACACATTTAAAAAGCAATAAATAGATCATTCCTGTATAATAAAAAAAATCGATAATGAGAATAAACGTTGTGACATGTACCACTGAACTAACAGCAATTAACCATTAAGCTGTAATGCCTTTATTATACAAAAGGAAATATGGGTAATAAATGTTTGAAAGTGTTTAGCCTGGGTGTTATTCAGAGGAATCCACATTTAAAGCCAAGTGACATTTTATAATTACTGAGTTAGTAGAGATAATAGAAAATATTCATACCCTGTAACCTATGAATCTAACATTTCTAGAAATTTTTCCTAGGAAATAATTTAAGTTAGAGGGGGATCTGAACATTTGGAATTATTTGTTGAAACATTGATGGTAATTGCAAAAATTAGAAATCACTGAAATGTGCTACAGGAAGAAAAAGGTGTATTTTTATTTTGAATTAGTAATGGGATAAACTCTTATATGATATAATAAATAGTTATACCTAGGTATAGCTAAGTGACAATCTTTACAGTGGTTCCGAGTTTTCACAAGCTGGTAAATAATAGAGAAAAACAAAAATTTATTCCTGTGTTAGTTTTCTCTTGCTACCCTAACAAATTATACTCATATGTCTCTTGAATGAAGGGACTATGTTATGTGAAATGGATCATTAGATGATTTCTTCATTGTAATAACATCATAAGATTCTATAGCCCGTCCTACACCTAGGTTGTGTGGGGTAGCCTATTGCTCCTACACTACAAACCTATTCAGCATATGATTATATGAAATACTGTAGGCAACTGTAACAAAATGGTAAATATTTGTATACATAAACAATGAAAAGGTACAGTCAAAATATGGCACAAAAGAGCAATGGTGTACTTGTATAGGTCACTTAACCACAAATGAGCTTGCAGGACTCAAAGTTAATCTGGTTAAGTCAATAAGTGAGCACTACATGAATGTAAAGGCCTATGACATTACTATACACTACTGTAGTCTTTAAACACTGTAGACTTAGACCACATTAAATTTATAAACAACAATTTTCTTTCTTCAGTAATAACCATAATTTACTGTGACTTTTTTACTCTATATACTTTTTAAAATTTTTTGACTCTTCTAATACTTAAAACAGCCATGTTATACAACTGTACAAAAACATTTCATTTCCTTATTTTATAAGCTTTTTTATTTTAAAATTTAAATTTTTTTTTACTTTTTAAACTTTTTTGATGAAAACTAAGACACAAATACACACATTAACCTGGGCTTCTACAGGGTGAAGGATCATCAGTATCACTGTCTTCCACCACATTTTGTCCCACTATCAGGTCTTTGAAAACAACATGCAGAGAGTTATTATCTCCTATGATAACGATGCCTTCTTCTGGAATACTTCCTTAAGAGCCTGCTGAGGCTGTTTTGGAATTAACATTGTTTTTATATACATGTATTTATCATTATCTAAAATAATGATAAAAAATATAGTCTAGTAAATACATAAACCAGTAACATAGTACCTTTATCAAAGGCTTCATATTGTACATACCTATATGTGCTATATACTTTTATATTTCTGGTAACCAGTAGGTTTATTTACAGAGAATATCTCCACAAACACATGAGTAATGCATTGCACTACAACTTTATGATGGCTATAATGTCACTAGGCCATAAGAATTTTTTTATCTTCATTATAACCTTATAGGACCACCATTGTTTATGTGGTGTGTTATTGCCTGAAAGGTTATTATGCAGCACATGACTTTACCACAGATTTATTTGTTATTTCACAGTTATGTAGGTTAGAAATCTAGTGAGCTTGGCTAGGTACTCTGTTTAGAGTATCACAGAGCTGAAATCAAGATGTTGGCAGGTCTGGCTTCCTTTCTGGAGCCTGTGAGGATGAATCTGCTTTCAATATGCTTCCGGTCATATTCAGATTGTTGGCAGAATTCAGTTTCATGTGGTTGTGGGACTGAGGTTGCCATTTCCTCACTGGCTGTTGTTGTTATTCTCAGCTTCTAGAAATGGCCCATGTTCCTTGGTTCATTGGCCCTCGTATCTTTGGTATCAGCAACAGTGCAAGTCCTTTTCATGCTTCTAATTTATCTGCCCCATCTTTTTCCTTCTTCCAGCAGGCGAACGTGCTCTGTTTTGTTTTTGTTGTTTTTTTTTTTTTGAGATGGAGTCTCACTCCATCGCACAGACTGGAGTGCAGTGGCCGCTCCCGGCCACCGCAGCCTCGACCTGCTGGACTCCGGCGATCCTTCAGCCTCAGCCTTCCAAGGAGCTGGAACTACAGGCATGCGCTACCACGCCTGGCTAATTTTTTTATTTATTTATTGTAGAGATGAGGTCTTGCCTGCCCAGAGGCGGGTCTCGAACCCGCAGACTCAGGCAATCCACTCACCTCAGCCTCCCAAAGGCGCGGGATTACAGGCTGAGCCACCGAGCCCGGCACGTGCTCTGTTTTTAAGGGCTTATGTGATTAGAATGGGCTTCCATCAAGGTCCCTTTTGCCTTGTAATGTAACATATTTATAAGTCCTGGAGATTAAAGCATGAACATCTCTGGGGTTTCATTATTCTTCCTACCACTTTCTCTTTAAGATCCCTTGGAGTGTTAGTTGTCATGGTTTGATTTAGATTAATATTTTAATTTTAAATTTGCAGGTTTTTTTTGTTAACTTTGGTGACCTTTTGTGTACCTTACATGAAACACCATATATAATAACTACTGGGGATTTCTTCTATGTTCCTTCAGGTAAGTATACATAAAGACACTTCACATAGTAAAAAAAATGTAGCTGTTCATGGGCAACCATGAAAAAGCCACAGTGATCAAAATGAAATGTGATATGACTGATGCCAGAGCACTTTGGTACATATTTTTCTTTTACTTTATCATTAGGTAAGTATATTAGTGTTTTGATACATGAAAATTGAACGAGTTGTTTATTGCTGAATATCAAAATATTGAGTTAGAAGATATGTTGTATTGTAGAGTTAGAAGGAAACTTATTTCTCCTTTGTCATCTCTAAGAAAATATTCAAACGATTTTTAGTGGGTGATTTCAAACATACAGAACAGTGTGCCTCATTAGTTATTAAAGAACCAACCCCATTTGAAATAGATACTGTATTTCACTCGCTCATTTATTCACTCATTCAGCAAATGTAATTAAGTATCTGCTATGGACACGCATTGCTCTGTGAGTTGGGGATAAACAAATCAGACAGAAATCCCTGCTTTTATGGAGCTTACATTCTAATGGAAGGAAACAATAATAATAGCTATGTTTGTATAGTTATTAGTATGCCAGCATTGTTGTAAATACTTTATAAATTTCCGATATATAGAAGGTTGCTGTAATAGTACTCAATGCTAATAACTCTGCCATATATGATGCTTGCTGTCCATCTGTATTTCACTTTTTTTGTTATTTAATACTTCATTTATTTAAAAGTATCATTTGTCTTTTTAAAATTTTGAGATATTATTTTACTTAGCATTGTACCTTTAATACTTAATCATATATGTATATGTCTTATTTAGAGGCATCTGCATCAGTTTTTAAAACCTAATGAAGATTGTTTCAGAAAGAGATTTTCCTATATTACACCTTTGTATAACTCATCTCTGCATTTATTACCATAATAATGTGAAACTTATTTTCTCTCAAACCTTATCTGGATCATATATGATGGTTAACTCTTGAAATTTTAGTTCATGGAATTAAATAAAAATTACTTTAGATTAGGTGAATTGTTTTTATTTTTTGTATAACTGTCAGGTAATAACAAAATATTAATCAATAGGAATTATTCCAATGGAGATAATTTTTATTTTATCGCTTTACTTTAGGTAATTATTACAACATCAAAAATCTTCTGAATGAAGAAAGTGTTCTTCTTTTTACTCAGATAAAGAGATGAAAGATGAAGCAAGTTTAAATACATGTGTATAGGTGTAAATGTGTATAACAGTCTATAGTTGGGACACTTTATTTTGTAATTACTTGTGATCTTTTAAAATTAAAATTTTGTTCAATTTATATAAGGTTGTGTTTTATTTCAACCTCCCACTTTTATCTTCTGTTTTTTTTTTCTGGTGGCTATACACATGGCCTGTAGTGATGCCTATACTTAAGATACTATTTTAGTAACCTGAAAATGAAATATAGAATATTTACTTGTTAAAAGAGATTTGATAAATGTTTACTTATTAAAAATTATTTTTTTCTAATATTAGTTTTAAATCATTGGTCATTAAATAATCAAATAGTAGAGAACTGTAGTAAATGATATATTTGAATTCGTTTCCTAGGGTTCCTATAACAAAACACTACAAACTGAGTGACTTAAAATGACAGAAATTTCTCAATTCTGGAGGCTAGAAGTCTGAAATCAGGATATCATCAGGGCCACGATGACTCTGAAAACCAATAGGGGAGAATTCCCCCCTTCTCTCTTCCTAACTTCTGGTAGTTTGCTGGCAATTTTTGTCATTCCTTGGCTCGTAGCTATAGCACTTCAATCTCTTCTTCCATCATAACATATTGTTCTTGCCTTACGTATCTTTGTCTTCACATAACATCTTTAACATTATATTTAAACTTTTTTCCATTGTGCTTCTGTACATTTTCTGCTGGAGGCAGTGTCCGTTGCCATTCTTTTTGTGTGTGGCCTCCTTCCCCCTTTTAATAGTAAAATGAAATACCTCAATAAATCTAAGCTAAAGAATCTAATAAAAATGTTTGGAACAGATACATATAACTGAAGACATTGATGTTTCATGGTAAGTTATCCTAAAGCCAACTGCTTTTTCTTTTTTATTTTAAGAAGAGGGGTACAATTCATGGTTAGGTATACAAATGTGCATTGTGCAAATACCCATGTTGATGAGGTAGGTCCCCCCCAAAACCCCCTGGCAGTTTCCCACTACTGCCAACATTCCCCCGCCCTCTCAGGTAGTTTCCTATTACTGCCAATCCCTTTCTTGTAGTATTATAATAGTTGTTCAAAGTCTACTTATGAGTGAGAACATGTGATACTCAGTTCTTAGTTTCTGTGATAGATCATTCAGTATTATAGTCTCTAAGTCCATCCAAGCTGCTGTGAACTTCATAATTTTGTCCTTTGTGACTGTGTAATATTCCATCATGTATAAGTACCACTTTTAAAAAATCCAGTCCTCTTTCGGTGGGTAGCATGATTGGTTCCATGTTTTTGCTATTGTGAATAATGTTGCGATAAACATGCATGTGCAGGTATCTTTTTCATAGAGTGATTTGAGTTCCTCTGGGTATATTCCGGGGGCGAGGGCAGGTCTTGTATGGGAGGTCGATATTTAGATCTTTTAGAAATCACCACACCGTTTTTCACAGAAGTTGTATTAGTTTACATTCCCACCAACAGTGTAGAAGTATTTCCTTTTCACTGCATCCTCTCCAGCACCTGTTGATTTTTGAGTTATTGATAATGGCCATCCTGACTGGAGTTAGGTAGTATCTTGGTGTAATTTTAATTTGCATTTCTTTGATGATTGGTGAGGCTGAGCACGTTTTCATGCATCTGTTGGCTGCTCATATATCTTCTTTTGAGATGTGTCTATTCATATCTTTTGCCCACTTTGTAATGAGGTTGTTTGTTTTTTCTTTTCGGCGTATTTGGGTTCCTTGTAGATCCTAGATGTTGGGCCTTTGTCAGATATACAGTTGACAAATATTTTTTCCCAGTCTATGGGCTGTCTCCCTGCTCTCTGGATGGTTTCTTTGGCTTTGCAGAAGCTTGTCGGTTTGATGAGGTCCTACTTGTCTATGTTATCTCTTATGGCATGGGCACTTGGGGTTTTGATCAGGAATTGGTTGCCAGTTCCAATTTGCATAAGGGTATCTCCTGAATTTTCTAAGTTTGAGGTTTTATGTTTAGGTCTTTGATCCATATAGATTGATTTTTGTGTATGGGGATAGCTAGGGATCTTGTTTTAATCTTCTGCATGTGGTTAGCTAGTTTTCCCAGCACCATTTACTGAATAGTTTCTCCTCTCCCCAGTGGTTGGAGTAGAGGCTTTGTTGAAGATGAGCTGGTTGAGAAATTGATATTTTGTTTCTGTAATCTCTGTCCTGTTTTATTGGTCTATATGCCTGTTCTTGTACCAATACCATGCTGTTTTGATTATTGTAGCTTTATAATAAAACTTAAAGTCTAGGAGTGTGATACCTCCTGTTTTGTTTTTTTTCTTGTTTTGTTTTGTTTTTGTTTTTTTGCTAAAGCTTATTTAGGCTATCGTGCTCATTTATGTTTCCATATGAATTCCTGTATTCTTGTCTTCGGGTTTGAGAAGAATGCTGCTGATAATTTAATAGGGTATTGTGTTAAATCTGTAGATTGCCTTGGATAGGATGGACATCTTAACAATATTGATTCTTCCAATCCATGAGCATGGAATATTGTTTCATTTGTTTGTGTCTTCTTGGATTTCTTTGAACAGTGTTTCGTAGTTTTCATTGTAAAGGTCTTTGGCTTCTCTGGTTAGGAAGATGCCAAGGGTTTTTTTTTTTTTTTTTTTGTAGCTATTGTTAATGGGATTATACTTTTTATTTGGGTTTCTGTTTGTTTACTGTTGGTGTACGGAATGCAACTGTCTTTTGCACATTTATTTTATACCCTGAGACTTTGCCAAAGTTTTTGTCAGTGCAAGGAGGTTTTTGACAGATTCTCTTGGGTTTTTGAGGTATAGAATCATGTTATCTGCCAAGAGGGATAACTTGACTTTCTCTTTTCTTGTTTGGATACCCCTGATTTCCTGCTCTTGTCTGATTGCTCTAGCTAGGACTTGCAATAATATGTTAAACAGGAGGGGTGAGAGTGGGCATCCTTGCCTTGTTCCAGTTTTCAGGGAAAATACTTCCAATTGCTTTCTGTTTAGCAGTATGCTGACTGTGGGTTTCTTGTGCTGTCTCTTACTATTTTGAGATATGGTCCATCTATGCGTAGATGTTTGAAGGTTTTCATCAAGAAGGGGTGCTGGATTTTATTGAAAACTTTTTCCATGTCTAATGATATAATCATTGGTTTTTGTCTTCTGCTAATGTATTTAATTTCATTTATGGTCTTGTGGATGTTGAACCAGCCCTGTATCCAGGGATGAAGCCTACTTGGTCATAGTAGATGATTTTTGAGATGTGTTGTTGGATCCAGTTTGCTAGAATCTTATTGAGAATTTTAGCATCTATGTTCACCAAGAATATTAGCCTGTAGTTCTCTTTCTTTGTTGGATCTTTACCCGGTTTGGGTATCAGTGTGATGTTAGCTTCATAAAATGATTTGGGGAGCGTTTCATCTTTCTCAGTTGGCTGGAATATTTCCAATAGGATTGGTACCAGCTCTTCCTTGTATGTTTTGTAGAATTCTCCTGGAAAGCCTTCTGGTCCAGGGTGCTTTTTTTTGGGCAAATATGACATAGTCAATTTTTTGGGTTGTTTGTTGGCTATTTAGGGTCTCAATTTCTTGTTTCAACCTGGGGAGTTTATATGATGTAAGAATGTTCTCCATTTCATTTAGGGTTTCAAGTTTGTTTCTATACAGGTGTGCATAATAATCTCTCATAATTTTATTTCTTTGGAGGCAGTTGTGACTTCATCCTTTGCGTTTCTGATTTTGTTTATTTGGGCTTTTTCTCTCTTTGTTTTTGGTCAGTCTAGCTAGGGATCCATCAATCTTGTGTATCCTTTCAAAGAGCCAGCCTTTGGTTTCATTGATAATTTGTATTATATTTTTGTCTTCTATGTCCTGAAATTGGACTTTAATTTTGGTGATCTGGATTCTTTTGCTGAAGTTAGGGTTTTGGTGCTCTTGCTTTTCCAGCTTCTTTAGGTGATTTGTTAGGCTGTTAACTTGTGATCTTTTCATTTTCTTCATGTGTGTTTGTAGAGATTCGAATTTCCCTCTTAGTACTGATTTCACGGCATCCAGAGATTTTGGTAAGATATTCTTTCCTTTTCATTCATTTCCAGGTTTCTTAATCTCTGTTTGATTTCCGTGTTGACCTAGGAGTTGTTTAGCATCATGCTGTTTAGTATCCATGTCTTTGTGGGTTTTAGGGGAACTTTGTGGACATTTATATTTATTTTTATTCCACTGTGGTCTGAGATGGTGCATGGCAGAATTTCAATCTCATGGAATTTGTTTATGCTTGATTTATGGCTGAGAATGTGGTCAATCTTAGAGTACCTTCCATGTGGTGATAAGTAGAGTATATATTCTGTGGTTTTGGGTGGAGTGTTTTGTACGTATCAGTTAAGTCCATCTGGTCAAGCATCACATTGGGGTTCTGGATCTCCTTGTTGATTTTTTTGTCTTGATGATATATCTAGGATTGGGAGTGAGGTATTTAAATCCCCAACTATGATAGTGTTAGAGTCAGTATTTTGTTTTAGTTTTGGCGCTCCTACATTGGGTGCATATATGTTTAGGATGCATATTTCTTGTTGATGGATTGAGCCTTTTATCATTATGTAGTGATCTTTTGTATCTTAAAATTTTTTGATAGTTTAAAGAGTGTTTTGTCTGATATTAATATCATGACTCCTGCTTTCTTTTGTTTTCCATTTGCCTGAAATTTTGCTTCCCATCCCTTTACTTTGAGTCTGTGAGTGTCTTTTCTGGTGAGATGAGTTTCTTGGGGTCACTATATTGTAGCCTCATGATATTTTATCCAATTTGCCATTTTGTCTTTCCAGTGATGTATTTGGTCCATTCACATTCAGGCTAGTTATTGAGATGTGAGAGTTTATTCCTGTCTTGAGGTTCCTATAGAGTTTGTTGTTGTTGCTGCTGCTGTTTGCTTGCTTATTTGTTTGTTTTCTTTCTTTTGATTTTTGTGTTGATTCATGTATGTTTTTAATCTTTTTCCTGCATTCTTGAGAAGGGCACTGCCATTCTTTTTTTCCTTTCTTCTGTGTTTAATACTTCAAGTGTTTCTTGCAGAGGTGGTCTGGAGGTAGTGTAAACTCTTAGGGGTTGAATGTCTGAGAAGGATTTTAATTCTCCA